GATGTTGCGCATCTGAGGCAGCCAATGGCCAGGCGACTGGCTATTATTACGACCCGGACGACGTGATCAGCATCAGGGTGGCATGGCGGCAGGGTGAAGCAGTGTGGACGCATGGCGAAACTGTCGCAGACTCGGCCTCGGAGAGCAGGCCTTCCCAGCAGACTACTTGGACGTGGCCGCGGTCGCGGTGCAGACAGCAGCATGGCAATGGCAGTGTTGCGGCTGGCAACGAGGGCGTCTGCATGCAGCCACCCAAAGTATGGTGTGGAGGCTGCGTCACCACGACAGCGACCACTTGACGACAGCCAGGAGCTTGAGGGCGGCAGAGCAGCCCCTCGGCCAACCACTAGGTGTTGGAGGTTGACTGGGCAGCGACGGATGCGGTGCGCGCCCAACGATTAGACGCATTGCATGAAAGAGCTAGCCCGCTATAAGGCAGTTTATAGTACCACGCCGTTTTGAATTTTACGGGCGGGGGAAAACTTTCGTGTGTCGAAGCCCGAACAACGCCTGCATGCCTGTCTGCTGCACACCAAGTCGCCCGTCATACTCTGCAGCGCCTCGCATATCCCTCATCCCTCTGCCTTCCTCGTCCCTCCGCTCTGATCTTCTTTCCCCTTCACCCACACCACGCCCCCGCCGCCTTGATGAGACGGTAGCAGCCAGCCCTATGCCCGTGCGAATAATGCGCTTTCGCCGTCTCGCCTGATTGATTGCTTGTCCAGGATCGCCCCGCGACGCTTTATTATCGATAGAGCGCGCTGCTGGAGCCGCTAGACATTTTGCCGACTCCTGTCTTCTCTCCCCCAAAACAAACGCTGCTACTGCTACTGCTACTGCGCTGCCAACATGGCGGAACTGCAGCCTACTGTCGAGGACTGCTACTCGGATGACAGCGAAGGCGGCTCTATCCCCTTCCAGGGCCGCCGGTCGCCCAATGCCGCTAACGTCTCCACCAAGCGCTCGCACCCTTCCGACTTGGATAAACAAATGCCGCCCGCGCAGGAGAGGGCGCCGACCAACATCGACCTTCGCTCCGACTCAGGGTACAGCAGCTACACCACCGCCACCGTCAGCAGCACTAATTCCGCTCAAAGTGCTCCTCTCCAGCGCAGCCCGCCCCAGGTGCCTGCCGCCGCTGCCCCAGCGCCTCCCCAGCCTGAGGCTTCAAAGGCCCGACGACGCCCGACGACGGACACGACCGAGAAGACTTCCAAGTCGTCCTCTTCGCGACCCAAGCCCTCTCGCACCGCTTCGTCTGCCTCCAAGCCTCCTGCTGTTGTCCAACATCAGCCACCGGAACGTAAACGCAGGCCGACCGTTACCCAGGAGTCCCGCCCGGAGCGCAGAGATCGTCGTGATAGCAGAGTTGAACCGGATGGTGCCGAGCCTAGACGCACCAAGTACGACCCCAACGCCCCTGCCTCAGCTGTCCGTCGTCGCCCTGACATACTGCCATCTCAATCCGCTCGCGACGTGCGTCCCATTCCACAAGACACACGCTCAATGCATTCTGATCCCGCTTCCTACCAGCAAGCTCCGCCCTCCCCTACGCACTATCGCCAGTCCTACCACGGAGGTGCCGCCGTCATACAGCCAGCCACGACACGTCCTCGTCGCCCATCGGCCGCTACTCGACCCATGAGCTACAGCGGTGAGCCTGGGGCCCAGTACCACCACTGGGCCCATGGTGCGCCTGGATACCCCCCTCCACACCACGAGCATGGTCCGCCTCTTTCTCAATCTGCTCAATTCCGGCAACCTTATCCCCAAATGGGTCATCCATCCATGCCCTATGGGACGTCTGGCTACCCCCCTCATTACTTGCAGCAGATGCCTCAATCCTACGACCCAATGCAGAGGCCGGGAATGGTACCACGGCAATCATTCAACACCGCGCGCACAGCACCTCAACCCGCTGTCATCCAAGCTCCTCGCGAGCAGCAGCAATACTCAACGAGGCGCAATCAACCTCAAGGTACATACCCTAATCAACTCCAGATCCAGGATGAAGCCTATACGAGCGATAGTGAATCCGAGACGGGATCGTCTGATGGAGAAGGCGACTATGAGCGGGAGCCTGAGATCGATCCCGAGGACCCACGTGTCCGCCGTGCGCTCATGCCCCCGCCCCCTCAGAAGCTTTCGCGAACCAAGTCCAAGTCAACGACTAAGCCCAAGACCAGGAAGGCGGAACGGCCTATCTTGTCTCATGCTCACACTACCACAACCGTAGAGCAAGTTCGCAGCCACCGCCATTCGCTGTCGACTCCTCCTGTTGGCGTCGACGACCGCTCCAGCCGTCATCGACCTACCAAAAGCACCAACGAGGCGTCTCGCCGACAGTCCGTCAGCCGACCTCCACCCCCACCGCGCGAAACACAAACCGAATACCCCGCACGACGTGGTTCGGTTTATGTGGGCGAAAGCACCAAGGCTGAACGGCGTCGATCCGCTCACTACGGACACTCTGCCCAAGAAAAAGCATATGCGGAGTACGCTCTTGTGAGGCAGCAGGAGACGCGCCTCGCAGCCGAAGAGCAAGCCAGGCAAGAAGAAAAAGCCGCCAGACGTCAAAGGAAAGCTGAAAAGCTTCTCGAGGATCGCTTCCAGGCTGAACAGGCTGCAAAGGCCGAGCAAGAGCGCAAACGCGAGAAGCGCAACTCGAAGGTTTACTACCAGACTCCTGCAGCGTTGTTCGATGACAGCGAGGAGGAGTATCACTCCGATGAACCCGTCGCTCCCTTCGTTCCCGAAGCGCCAGCTCCTCCCCGCCGGCGCCGTCCTACTGATGCGGGCGGCCGCAAAGCCAAAGAAGTTCAGGCGATAGACTACATCAACAACCAACGTGGCACGGATGTTCCGTTGAACGATCACATCCATCGTGCTGCAAAGAGGGCTTCGAGGGTACCTTCAATGCCCTCTCATTCCGGCTCCTCTGGAAGCGATAGGCAAAGCCAGTCTAATCGCACCGCTCTTACGAGCAACGGCAATAATGAGATCCGCCTCCGAGTTGATGCGAACGCCCCACTCAGCCTGCAGTTCAACGGCGACATGGAGGGTCGCACCATGCAACTCATCCCGACCGAGGACGGCATGGCAGAACTTGTCATCAGTGGAAGTCGTGATAATGAGAGCAACTATCACAGCAGTGAAAGAGGCAGCAACGCAGGTGACGGACAGGCACTTGTAACGCGGAGCCAGCTGGAGGAGATGACCAAAGCAAGCATGCGCAGCGACCGTAGAAGGCGCGAAAGCCGAACAGTACGGGATTCTTACGATGATCGGATTGTTGAGGTGCCACGACCTTTGCGTCGCCGCGCCAACACCAGTTCGCATTATTACAACTAAGGATCTCCGAACCTCAGACACTCGCGCGCGAAAGGAAGATGCGTAGCTCGACTTTGACTCTCTTGCCTGCTGGCCACACGTAACTTCCCATCCTCCGCCCTGCGCGGCAGATCTCTTTGTATCTTCCTTTTTTCTTGGGTGGATGATTTCCATATCAAAAGCTTTCTACGAGCGCGGACATGCCTCTTTGGCAGACCTGCTCAACAAAAAAGTTCGGATCGGTTTATTCATCGCAAGTTCGATTTTGGCACTATTGCCCACTCGCATTTCATGTTTGTATGCTTGCTGCGTTCCCTGCGACAATGCAGGTCACATTGTTATGGTTTGCTAGACTGGGACGCTCACGCACACCAACACCCAGTGCGTAAGGGCGGTCACCGCCATTGAACTGCTTGCTTGGACCGATCAGATTGTACGGTTATCTTCTTCCTGCCTTTCGTCGCGCCCTTTTTTGAGCGTTCCCCACATTATTCCCCCCCTTCTTCTTACTTCTTCTTTACCCTGCACTATACCTGCTCCTCGCGGAGGCTTTTCGGCACTTTTTTCTCGATTTTGGCGGATGTAATACCCTTATCTCCTTTTCTACTTGTTATGGCTGGATCATGTACGTGGCAGAAATGTTTGGTGGGGTTTCCTTTTTTTCGTTCCGCTATTTCGCAAAAAAAGTAAGCAAGAAGTCGATGTGTTGGCAACGGCTACGACGCTTATGATGATGGACGTATGGATCATGAACTACGCAGCGATGGATCTTTCTCTCTCTTTTTCTTATCTACATAGCTGAGTTGGGATGGATGGATGGCCCGATGGGATTTATTCAGATCGGATACTGCAGCTAGCCTGCTGGTATCGTGTAGGATATGATCACAATCACATCTCTTCTACCCTCCTCACCGTTACCCTGTACTGGTTCACCGCAAATGTGATGCAGAACGCCAACACTGACCTGAGCCCGCGTATGTGCTTTTGTCTGACTGCATAGGGCGACATCCTGATTCGGGCTACAGCACCTAGTGGTTTCACCCCCACACTACAACTGCGGGCATGACGCTACCCACCGTTCCTTTTTCCCAAGATTCCAGACCGTGGCCTCGGTACGGTAAGGAAAATGGAAAGTGCCGGTACTGTACCCATTGGCGTTGGTGTGGGCCTGGTTGCCGAGTGTTTCCGGCGTGGCTGGCCTGTCCGCCTCGCTTGCCTCACTTGTGCTGGGCGAGTGAATGCATGTATGGTAAATTGATGAACACGTGTCGGGGTAGGAGATGAGATACACGTCGATGAACTCGTGACATAAAGTACACGTAGTCAGTACTGGAAATGAGATGAACGGTGAAGCCAGGGATGAAGATATCACTGCTCGATGATGATCTATTGAAGGAGGCACGTGGTGCGTACTCATTGCTACGGTCGAGATTCTGATCACTGAAGGTAGACCGAACAATGCCGAGTAAGTCTGCTCTTGGTTCGTTCTAATGTGGGTGATGTTTCAGCAAGATATTGTCGTCCGCGTGCAGCGATGTGTTTGCACCCTCGAGTCGACACTGTTGTATACGCATAGGTCTGTGTACATACTCTAATAACGCGTCCATAGCACATCCTTCACGCTTTGCTAGCTTATCTACCCTCCGTCGTTCCTCTTCTTCTGCCTCTTTTTATCTTACGCAAAGCTTGCAGCATTGGCCCTTCAGTAGTACTCGAGGCTTTGAATCAGCCTCTGGCTTCTGGAGGGTAGACTGAGCAATGTCTTCTTGTATGCGCGGCGCTTCTTCCCATTGGTTCGGCATAGGTGCTTTCCCTTCCGGTACATGTGTTTGCGAAACGGTATATGGAAGTGTTTGAGATTGCGGTCGGCTTTTGGATTGCGTAGATTTACTCGCAGACAATGAACGAGGCCGCAGTCCTGCTGGTGGCGGAAGCAGACTAGAGTGCAAGGATGATGATGGTGGGGCATTACTGTATGGTTGCCGCTGCATTTCTGCTTTGACAAGATTGGCCCTTTGGGTGCTCTCGTAGTCTTCTTCAACGTTTGACTTGTGCACCGGTGTGTACCGCTTAGGATAAGCTTCGTCCAGGAGCGGTCTCTTTTCATCGTTAGATCCCCTGGGCAGGAGGCTACTTGGGACAGGGGTAGACAGTTTGAAATTCTGACTGAACTTCTTGAGGTCGTCCAGGTCTGGAGATTTGTTCTCGCGCCTGAATGCCCTCGCCCGGTTGCTGAGATCTGCGGCTTGGAGCATCCTGGCAGTTTCCTTGAGATGGCGTTTCCTATCGGCGGTTTCGCGCTGCTCAGCTCCTCTCTCGACATCAGGGTCCTGGCCCAGATATTTGTTGGGATACCATGGAAGAATCGTACCTGGAACTCGGGAGTCATCAGAAGTTTCTTTTCTCTTCGCAATTACGGTTTCTGGGGTGCGTTGTAGGACGCTTAGACGATGATGAAGAGCTGAGTGCCCTTTTCGCGCCGCTGGATCTGCGACAGTCTCAGTCCACATCCCGGAAGCTTGATTATCTTCTGAACGTATAGGGATTGTCTCAGTCCATTTCGCAGAAGCTTCTGTAGTCTGAGTGGATGTTGGGAACTCCCGCTTCTCTGAGACGACAGCCTCATCATTGACGTCGTGTATCGTAGGAGCTTGGATCTGGTGCAGTGAAGTCGCCGGCATGAATTCATCTGTCATTCTGATGGTAGAAGCGATGTGTGTGTGCGTCTGCGAGACATTGCTGACTGCAAACCAAGAGTGATCGAGGGCTTTCTTGGCGGTCAGTCTCTGCGAAGGTTCGATCCGCATCAGTGAGCGTATAAAGTCTATGGCACAACCGCTGACATGGGAATCCTTTAGCGTGCTATCAGGGAAGTCTATGTCGCCTTTCTGGTACTGTAGGAGCTGCATGTTGTCAAAAAACACACTGCATCCTGTCAAAGCACTTGATATTGTTGCTCCTAAGCTCCACATATCCGCACGTAAGGCGTCTGCATCTTTCGGGTTACCCCCAAAAGGTTCTCCGATGGTTTCTGGAGCCATGAAACCTTGGGAACCGTGGATGGAAGTCGTTCCTGAGGAGTCGCCGCTGCGTCGGCTGAGACCGAGATCGCCAAGTACAACCCACCATGCACTATCTGGTGGGGTTTTGGTTTTGATCAGGATATTCTAAGAGTTCTTCAGAATTTGTGCTCAGATCGTTACTGTTGTGTTACTTACGGTGGGCTTTAGATCTCGGTGAGCGAATTTATTGTCATGCATCCGGCACAGCCCTCCAAGGATTTGCCCGCTAATGATCTTGGCGAGTTCCTCCGACAAAGTACCATGATTCCTGAGATAATTTCCAAGATCCAAGTGCTCGCAGTACTCCATACAGATGTAGAGCATGTTTCGATCATGGTACCATCCATACGATCTCACAAAGTAATGTGTATACTAGGCCAAGCATTAGTAATGTGTACGGAGTTGGTTAGGTGACTCACTCTGTCTTGCGCAAATTTAGCTAATGCTTCCAGCTCACGGCGATACCTCTTGCTTTTGTGATCGCTAGAAGCAATTTCGGACTCCAGGAATATCTGTTTGACAGCTATTGTGTTCACGTCGCCAGGCCCTTCGATCTTCTTCTGCAAAATGACTAGGCCTTCACCCCCAGAACCGAGATTCTCTGCCCATTCCCACTTTTGAGGCAGAACGCTGTTTCGACACCCTAGCGGTGTATTGTGGACAGTGGTGCTACCTTGGACAATCACGTCTAGTTTCGAATCCCGGACAAGTTCGGGCAATTCGCCATCTGACCTTACCGACGTTGATTTCATGTGATGGAATTGAAGTCACTGGGTGTGACCGTAAAGAAGCAGAACGAGACTAGGGATCTCGAAGAATGAGGGAAAGAGCGTGTGATGTAAGACCGGTCAGCGATGACGCAAACAAGCGGGGGTTCAGCCAGTCGCACCAGCTGACAACCCCGTCCGCCCGTAGCAAAGGCGGCTGAGCAGCCATCAGCGCTTCCGTTCTACAACTAGCGAATCAAGACCTAAGACAACCTTTAGCTAAGTCTTAGCTAGAAGCTACTAGTTATAATCTATAGTTATAGTATTTAGCTTATAGTATTTTAGTAATCTACTTCTACTACTATTATTAAAAAGTCTTACTAAGTAATTTCTATAGTAGTTTTTTTAGTAGAACTAGCCTATATAGCTTACTAAAATCTATTTTTAGTAAAATTTAGCGCTAAATTTTAAGTAGCTTATACTAAGTATACTTATACTAGTATATATAGTAGCTATAGTATTACTTAAGAGTATACTAAGAAAGTACTTATATAAAAGTAGTAAGGTTTTAAGTAGTATACTTATAGGCGTAGTATATATTATTTTATTTTTATATTAACTTAGTATAATATAAAAAAAAAAAATAGCTTACTTAAATATAGTAAAAAGCTATTAAGTTTAGTATTATTAATATAAAATAAGTAAGTTTTAGTATATAGAAAGATATAAAATACTAAATTTTACTAAAAATTTATACTTCTAAGCTATTATAAGTAGTAGCTAGGTTAAGTAACCTATCTAATAGGCGTTAAGATTATTTAGTTAAGTACTATAGGAAGTAGAGCTAGCTTCTAGCAAAAGCTACAAGTTTAGGAGGGATAGTCACCGGAAGATGACATGTTTAACACAGCCTTGTCGCACACAACGCGACAGGCTATGGTAAGAGGTATATGATCTGATCCGAATCTCTGTGCTTCCCAAGCCGACGCATTGCCACTCCGCACGATCTTGACTCTAGGTGTTGAAGTCGTTCGAAATGTCCGCAGAGCTTGCGTTAGCAGTGCTTCCCACCGTGGACCTCTGCCGAAAGTAAGCCACCCTGGAAAGTAAAGCCTTCGCACAAAAGAAGCTTACGAGAGCTAGATACATCAAAGAAGGAAGGAGTTTGTGCTCAGCGCTGATACACGCCGATGCTGAAGCTTCGGAGCGCTTGGTGCAGCTCAACAACAACTGGGTACGGTTTGGGTCCCAGCTCAATTTTTTCCAGCGCATCCAGGACGCGATGGAGGAAGAGCACCGCGAGGTGTACAGTCAGACCCTGCAGATCCTCCAAAACAAGTTGGACATCGTGGTGTCTATACTGAGGGGTCTCGTAAAAGTGCAGCCTGCGAACGAGAATGAGCTAGCGCCATCCAATCACAAGGTCCTGCGGTGGAGGTTCGCAGCCAAGAAGAGTAGCTTGGATGAAGCTATCAATGATCTCGAGAAGTGGCAAGGACTAGCCGACCAATCCTGGTATCTGCTTCTCAGAATCGCAGATACCCTAGTTGATCGGGCCTTGGCTGCAAGCGGCAGCGCTGATGAGCCTAGTACAGGCAAAGCCATACCAGAAACGATCGCTATACGTGCTGGTTTGCAGCAGGTTGATGATCTCTCACCAGAAACATCAGCAGTCAAAAACATTACCCTGCGCTCCAGCGATATAAAGACGATGACCGTCCAGGCCATTTCTTTCTGCGATGGTATCGAACTTGCCACGAATGCGCATTCGGACGGATCAGCGAGCAGGTACATCCTAAACCACATGCAATGTGAACCTGGTGCGAAGCCGCAGATACTCAAGCGCAACATCCGCGACCTTGTACGAAAGCTTCAGGCCGACAAGCCGCACACTTTCGGCTTACTGAAATGTAAGGGCTTCGTAGCAGAATCAGTCCAGGTAGGACTTGGGGAAAATCTCTCGTTGACTCTGGTTTTCAGAGAACCTCCGGCTTCACACAACCCTAGAAGCCTGCGGGAAATGTTACTCGCATCGTCGACATGCGTGTCTACTACTCGACGGCTCTATATTGCGCAAGATTTGGCTAGGTCCATCGGTTATGTGCATACCTTCGGCTTTGTGCACAAGAACGTACGTCCGGAGTCAGTCCTCGTTTTTGACGATGCCGACGGACAGGGTATCTCCGCATTTTTAGTCGGATTCGAAAACTTCCGACGAGACGAAGGCTGGACGCAGCGCCGAGGCGATGACGCGCCAGATAAGAACCTATACAGGCACGCATCTCGGCAAGGCTTCAGCCCTCGCGACGATTACGAGATGCGCCACGACATATACAGTCTAGGTGTATGTTTGTTGGAAATAGGTCTTTGGAGTAGCTTCGTCGAATACGATCCGGCAACCTCAGCGCGCAGTCTTTCGCAACAGCTCACAACGCAGTCTGGGAAAGACAGAGAGATCGTGTCGGCATCTCTGCGAGACCCGACAAAGGATGTCTTCATCGCTCTCGCGCGATACCGCCTCCCGGGAAGCATGGGCGACATGTACGCGGAGGTTGTGGAGACGTGTTTGACGTGTTTGGACCGCGGCAACCTTGATTTCGGAGACGGGGAAGCGTTCGAGGACGAGGATGGGATTCGCGTTGGCGCTCGGTATATCGAAAAGGTTCTTATTCGCCTCGGAAGGCTAAATATGTAGTTTCGCTGTGCTCTGTCTGTCCTGTTTCTGCAGTCAGATCTTGGAAGGAATGCGATCGGTTTCTCTGCGCGTAGATTCTGCTTCCTGATCAGCACAACCAATCCTGCTGCATAATTCACATTATAGCGATCCGGCTCCCATAGTATACATATTGTGCGATGAAGGAGGCAAGAGCTAGGTGTGGTGTCCCCGGGCAGGATTGGGGCATCGGGTGGGATCCAAATGCCGCCGGACGCAGCTCGGCAAAACCTCGGCACTCAATCAATCGAGGACCACGTTATTTGCTCGGTGACCTTCGCGATGTAGCCGTGATCTTGCATGAAGTCGCGACGTCAGTTCAGGCAAAATCCTTAACATATTAGATGTCTTGCGAGGGAGTATCACGTCTCGGGCCAGAGATCTTGTAACTTCATAGGAGAGAGTGCTCAGCACCGCCGTCTCGGAGCGCTGAATGCATCATAATTGACTGTCTACTGCTCTTGAACGGAACGTCGTGGCGAGAGCGACCTTTCTTCGCTTTCCAGAAGCGCACTGCTCGCATCAACCACTTCTCCGCTTGGAATCGATGACTCTTCATCCGCGTGCGCCACTGATGTACCTTCCTCCGGTCCATCAACCCATTCCACACCCTCTGCATCCACGAGTTCAACACCCCACCTAACATCTCCCCGCGCGTCTCTGAACCAACTCAATTTAGTCAGTCTACCACTCTTAGCAAAACCTTCAACACCCTGCTGTTCAATCAACCCGATCAGCCCCTCGCTTCCAGCAACCATAGCCAGTACGTCTGCCAAGCACTCGACGCGATGTTGCATGCATGAGCTCGGATATACGATCTGCAAGCTCACAACCAAAGTAACCAGGATAACGATAAGTAGGATGAGTATGGTAAGCGAGAGCCACGTTGCCGTCTCATTCATAGCAAGAACTTCAATCCGTTTCGTAAACGTCCCATTCACAGGCTCTGACGAGGCCCGCTGGTAGGCTGCTCTCTCAGGCCCTGAAGATGACCAGCGCCCGCTGAGACTCGACGACCCGCTATTGACAAAGTGTTTGAAGAAGATTTGTAAAGTCTTCTCGGAATGTCGCAATAGCGTTGTTGTATTTAGCAGGGATTCGGTGTCCTTGTTGGCAAGGTTCCAGTTTGCGTAGGACATGAAGTCGACGTTTAGGCCACGATCCCGGTCGCGAATGTTGAAGCGTTCGCTTGCTGTTTCTTCGATGCTGCGGTTGTAGGATAGCCAGGAATGTGCTATGTGAGGTGTGATGATGTGTGGGGCGGTGAGGAGTTGCGTCATGAATAGATGGCCGTAACTAGTAGCTAGTGGTTAGCACTTGATTCGTGATGAACACGCTCGAGGTAGCCACTCAATTGGATGGATGCCTTACCTGACATTTCCTCTTCCTGTGTAGGATGTTGGACTAGGGTACAAGATATCCCAGGCGTAATCCCATGCATCCAGAGCAGGCTGTGGGTCCGCCACCAAGCTGTAGTCCAAAACGTTCCCAGAACTCCTAGCTACAGTAACACTGGCGGATGTATTTTCGATGACCATGATACAGTCCATTATAGCCATCTTGGGCTCTTCCGTGAAGTAGAGAAGCTCTTCATCTGCAGAGCCGTACGGTGCGCTAATTTGTTGTACCTTCGGGTTCGCAGCTGGATTAGCTCCAGATATCTTCGCAGTCACACCTGGCCCCACGATCCACTTGATGGTAAAGTTACGATACCAAGAGCCTTGAACGATAACATCTTCTGGCCCATCCTCGCTGAGGGAATCGGACGGCGCATTGGCACTCGTGCAGTTGCCATTGGTAAGTTGTTCATAAGTGCATTCTTGTATGAAGAAATTGGGATCCACACGTTCAATCATCGAGCTGTTGCTGCTCCAATACGCAACGACAGCTTGCTGACCAGGATCTGTGCCATTCGTACAGCATGATAACCGTCTCCGGGCCGAGAAGACAGAGGTATTGTACGATTCGCCGTCGAATAGAGTAGTTGGTAATGCAAATCCTTGTAGCGCTTCATTGGTACGATTGGGGAAAACGTCTGCGGCTTGGTCAAGCCAGCCGGAGTCTGGTACGGCGATCGGAGAGCACTCTAATCGACTTCGGATAGCGGAAGTGATGAAAGACGCGTTTGCGGGTGACGCTATAGAATTGGGGCTTGTATGTCTACCAGAACCGGAACACGATTTCGAGGACACTGTGACGTTTGGCAGCTCTTGCATATCAAGTGGGGTAAACGTCCATTCGTCCTTAGTCCACGCCAGTTGCGGTGCTTCTAGAAGAATCTCGTCCAACGCGTGGTTGAGCCACTGAATATTGGATGAGTCCAACATATGCTCGTCTAAGTCGAAATTGCGCGTCCGTTCGCCTGGGTTGGAAAAGTCGATAGGCTCTTGTAGAAGCTCAAAAGGTGCTGTCACCCAAAGTGTATCAATATGTGATGGGTCCCAAGTTTCCCGACTAATCAATGCGGTCTGTCTTTCGAAGACGGCTGCCATGGAGATGATGACTACACGGTTAGCTACACGACTCAACGGAGCGAGAAAATGCTTACGGATTTGTGATAAGGTTGTACCAGTAGTTATTAGACAAAGCATCCAATGTTTCCGCGACGCTGATTTTGCCGCGGCCCATATCCAGTATGAAGACTGGTAAGTCAACGATGCTCCTCGTATTGGGACTACGGGTTTCCGCGACAACGAGAGATATGGCTGCAGAATTCGCATAGGTTTATCGATACCATCCCAACTCAATCCAATAAAAACGGCGATTAGCGTTGCAACGACAGAGTGAGGAGAGAACGACGTGTCGAATAAACCCAAATCGACCTGGTAGGTAAAAGCAGTCTGGGAAAGCTTATCTTCTCGTGCATATCTGCGAAGAACAAACATGGTTGTTGCGACAGCGATCAGAGTAGCCAGTAGTGTAAGAAGCCATCGTTTGAGGAGCATTGAAGGCCTCCAGTCATCTTGAGAGCCATCTTTGGATCTGGGATGGCTTACTGAAAGCTCGCTTGTCTTGCCGAGTACATTCGGCTTTCTACCTTCAATCGACTCCCCCGTCGTTTCGTTCTCCGAAATGATGCCGCCTTTTAGATGATAAACCCGTGATTGGATAAGACCTTGCGTGCGCGATCTTTCATATCCAAGGAATGTACTGAACGTGGTAGAAGAAAGCGAAGTATTGCCAAGGATGGATGATGTTCCAGCAACGGTGGCAGGATCTGAATGGAGGTTGAGTGGTCTTTTCCTGGGCGATGTGTAGAATACAGCTACTGCAATGTAGCCTGCCAAGAGCATGAACAATACTGCGAGTGTTATTGCAACCTCAGTGACGACCAGAATCCGTCTCCTAACGCGTGTAGCAAGCCCTTTTGTATCTTCCAATTGTGGGTTGTCGGCTTCTATGAGAGAAGAGAGCAAAAGCTCTTTTGTGAAGTGCATCCGAAGTTTGCTAGCTTCTTCCTCTAACGTGACGTTCTCCAAAATATTGGACACGTTGTGAGCGAAAGTTGAAGCAAGAAGCAACGATATACCCTCAAAAGAACCATGAACATTACGAGGTACGGCCATGTACTGGAGGTAGAGGTACGATGTCAGTATATGTCTCGCATGCACTTCGTACAGTCAGAACTTACCTTGTCCCAACTGTCACTGCGAAAAGTGAGATCATCCAATAAGTCGAAATCGATGGCTTGTTTCGACACAGGCTGCCTGCGTCGCTCAAACTCTGATACGTCGAAGGACATGGAAGTTTCAGCGCCGTCGATGGATGCAGAGACTGGGAGGCTAGCTGTATGATATTCCGGAGTGCATACTTGTGCCCGTATCGTGAGGTTGTCCCATGAGTCTTTCTCCCATACACCCACGGGCACATCGACAGGTGACGGCCGGACAATCCATTGAGGCGATACAAGTAGCAGGTCACGCCCAATGCATTGATCGGAGAAACCATAAATGAACGTGCGAGACCATTGCTCGAGGACCTTCTCTCCAATGGAACGAATTGCTGGAAGCTGACCGTAATCTCGAATAAGTGTCTCCCACGACACGTAATTGGAAGACATGTTGGTCCAGAGCAAGCCACCATCATCTGTAAAGGTATCGCTAATGAAGCCATCGGAGTTCAACTCGGCTCCCAAAGCATCCCATTGAGCGATTGGACCTTGGATTTGGACCTCACAACCATCCTCTGATCGAACTTTGAAACCCTTTGAGGAGACAGTACATGTGTCGTTTGGACATGACGTTATCGGGATGTCTGTATACTTGTAGGCAATATCGATTATGTCCTTCTCGACCAGAGCCATCGATGTGCAACTGTAGTTTAGATGGAACACCTCAGTATCTGCTTGCCATATACCGTTCGGAAGCGTTGCATGGCGCTTGTCGCCATTTGATGCTCCAAAAGGTACAATGACTTGCGAATTCGACGACCAGATAGATGTAGATACGTTGAAGAGATATCCACTTATAGTTCGGAGATACGTATCCCTTCGAGGTGAAAGCTGAATGGGTGACAAGTCTTCGCCAATTGTCTGGCCAGCGGCATACCGTTGAAGCTGCACATCCTCCTGATACAAGATTTCTTTCGCAACGAATACGGACGACGAGAAGGTTGAAATGCTGAGCACACTGATACCAGCTGCGAGCGAAGACAAGGCCAGATTCCATCTCCGGTGGCCGCCGCTCCGCTTTCGAGAGAAACCTACAAAGATGCTTTTCCACCAGACCTTGGGCAGATAGAATAGGGTGAACTTGGCTTCGATAGATTCGGGGCCGGCCATGCGTGCGTATGCTTCAGTCCTCTTTACATCCTCTGCAACCTGGACAACAGCCTGCGTGAAGAAAATGGCGACGATAGTGGGCGTATATCTCCATCCAATGAGTAGTCCAGTAGACCCATCCTCATCTCCGAGTCCATGGTTTTTGTAAGAGTGCCAGCTAAGGGCTGCTAATACGGTCGAGAGTATGAGTGATGCTAGGCTAAGAGTGATCAGGTATGGGCGCCGCAGCGTGTATGGCACCCAATCTGTGGATGTCCGCAGGCTTTGATCTTGGAACTTTGCTTTAAGCTCGTCAGAAAATGTCGGACATAGTAACTTGGGGTACTTGGTATTGCACTCACGCTCATGGGTATCATCGAAGTTCCTTATTTGCGGCTCATCCAGCGGGTGGTCGTCGATTGCTCCACTGAGTGCGGTAGACGCTCGGCTGGAGAGAAGCGTCTCGTTCTCCGAAGCAGCATGAGGAGACGAATCGATGTGTTCGCGTTGCTCTTGAGCTCGGGATTCAGGCCTGCAAGTGCGGTCAACGCTGTCGCCCTGTTCGGCGTGCTCATGCTGCATGATCCCGCTTGAGGTCTCGCTCTCAGGAAGCGATATCCATGAATAATGTTCGCGCGGTTCTGACGATGGACTACTGTTTGAATGCGACATGCTGTTTGCGCATTAAACTTCCAATTGCGGCTCCCATGCAGGTCATGAAGCAGTCTGACTGGAATTTGTAGATCGCGCAGAGTATTTGGGAAAGACAGATCTAGAGGCTGAGTGCATTCAGGCAACCATAGTAACCCCAGGAAGACTTGGCTCCATGTTACGCGCTGCAGATGCAGCGGTCACAATCAGCAGCATAGCCTCGTTACGCCCGGCGACCCACTCATGGCGGCCAATCTCCGCTGGTTACCTGGCAGAGCCTCTTAGTCTTGGAAGCCGTTAGAAATATAAGATGCGGGCTGTGAGCGCCCAGTAACAATGCGAGAGAGATCTGTTTGTATGTGACAAGACGCAAGTCGCGCGGTGCAGAGGAGATGCCAAGGTTCCACGGGGGGTCAGCGTCAGCGCTAGGGCCCAAAGGGGAAAGCGTTTGAGGGTGGAATTGTCAATCGACGATTTCGTGAGCCATCATACAACATACGATTTCAAAAGCTTCCATCGGCTATGTTCAACCATACAGGCGCCTTGGAGGGCTTGGGTAAGCTAAACACTATAACAAAAGCTGTCACATCGCCAGCCAGATGCATGCTGGACATTTATATTGCGCTGATCTCATTGGCTCTGACGCGTTCCAGCGCGACCAGATGCTAGACATCGTCACACGTAGTGTGCGAATGTAACCTACTACTACCCGCAATCCTGTCTTTCAGAATTGTCTTGCGAGATGGACGCTGAGTTTTTCCACTCGCATGAGTACGAACATGATGCCATCCCGATTGCAAGCCCGCGTCAGCCTCCAGCCAAGGATCCTCGCCCTCTTTAGTGGCAACTCGTTATTCGCGCGAGATCGATGATAGCGTACATCTCGCTGGCGTAAGACAATAAACCGCGTGTTGTTCATATCGACAACCTTATTGTTGGTTGAACATCGAGCCATCCCAACCATACGCGCGAGTCAGCCTTGCACCCAACGTCCGCATCATGGCAAGCGACATCTCGTTGCCCGGATGAGGCTCATGGAAACAGATGCCCCTGTCAAGTCCTCTGTCCTGTCTGAGCTGCTCCGATGGAGTGAACTGCCACGCAGAACCTTGCATTTGTTCAGCGGAGAAGCCGAGATGGGTCATCGTCGTGCGAAGAGCCGTCCACTTGGTCACTCCTGGTACTTCGTCCTCATCTGGGATGAAGAATAGCGCTTTGAGGACCTTGTATGAGTTGTCTCCGAGACGGGCCCAAGGTCGGCGAGGATCGACAAACGTATCAGGAGTAAGCTCATCTTCAAACTCAAGCTCGTCGGCGGGCACCGCGGCAGCTGCCCCACGGGTCTTGTCTTTTGCTTTCTTGGTGATGGCAAATCTGTCCAGGTTTCCGGTAATTTCTTTCGATGGATCGTGGAAGATCTGAGACACCGGCTGAAGTTCGAGGATATCATCCGCCGAGAGAGGACCGATCTTTTTCTCGGAACGACCGTCTACCCACGCTTTTGTTCGACGCATAGCACCGCGCTCTTCGAGAAGACGCTGTAAGGTTTCCTGGTCCTCGCCACCAGATAGGTTCCGGAAATCTGTATCGAAGCCTTTCCAGAACCTGTCCAAATTGGCCTCCGCCTTACGCAGCGCATCAATGACCTTCTTCCGCCTACTTCCTTCGTAAGGATACGTGAACTTTCCATCGGAAGGATCACCAAGTTCTGGGGAAGTGATAAACCCAGTATCCATGGCCGCTACGAGGACACGGTCCCACACCTGCAAGGGCTCAGCCACACGTGAGTTGACCCTGGCTTTGACGCTTTCGGTCACTGCTAGCATCTTCCAGACTTTGAAGTTCCACGGTTGGAGTTCAAGGAGATGTGAGCACTCCGTCAGAACTGAGAGCCGTGTAATGGCCTCTTTGATTGGCGTGCTAAGCAGGTCTCGTACTTTGGGCTTCTTTTGGAGAAAGGTTTCTAGGATATCAAGACGTACTCGAATATCGAGGAAAGACATGGTGTAATCGCTCTTCTTGTTGAGTTCACCACACAATTCTTGAAGTAGAAGGCAAATCTCCTTCTTATTCTGATCTTTCATGAAGTCCTTGTGTGCTGACATGTGTGATCCGGTTGACAGCGGAAGCCTCACAAACTGCGATCGAAGTTCTTCGCTAGCCGAGTATTGACTCATTTCTTCGAGAACGTCTCGCTTCATGAGCTCGAGTAGCACATGGAATGACTGGATAGCTTCCACGAGTTTTTCGGGTTCGAGTGACCAAGTGTGCACACCTTCCGGGTGGAGAGTGAAGAGCTCGTCGATACGCCGAGCATAAGCGTCAAGTTGATCCCAACATATCAGCCTTCGATGATAACGAGCCACTAGAACGTTCAGGGTGCTAGTGATGAAGTCTTTGCTCCTGATATTAGGATGCGCTTTGCCCAAGCGATCAGCCACCTGAGCAACGTCGTGGCCGACAGCACTGGTGTAGGCTTTTTCGAACTGCGCTGGATCTTCGCGAAGTTGCCAAATCTCGTCCTTGGCCGTATTAGCTGCGTCGGACGTCCAGCGACGTAGTCTGTGTAGATGAAGACCATGGCGACCACGGTAAGGTGTCATAGCGGTAGCCTCGGAGAACGCAATGTCCTTATCCTCTTCATCAACGATGTTCAGCGCGTCAGGCTCTGGGTCATTGATCTCAGTGTCGAGTAGTTCCAAATGATCCGACAAGATGATTCGAACGCACTGGAGCAGGAAAGAGTAGAGGAACTGTTGAGCGTGTAGAACTTGAAGACCATTGCCAAGGGCTAAGCCAAATCCATCGTCTACAAAGTCTATAGCCTCAGTGACACTGTCAAATTCCTCTGATTCGCCGTATTCGTTACTATCAGACAGGCGGACCACATGTGAGGGCGCGCGATAATCGTCCGTAAAGCCCAAAGGCATGAATAAGCGCTCGGTTGTGGCAAAAGTATGAGGTGGCTGACGACTACGAGCCTCGACTAGAGCTGAGAGTGTTGTCTTGTCGCCCAAGTCCTCAAGGTTGATGAACGGTAGAGTTCGTTCCAAAGAAGGTACGCCAGAAAAGGCCACCAGGGAGTGGTAGCCGTCCTCGCCGAAGCACTCGGGACGATGACATCTGGGAATATCAGGGTATACTCGCTGGAGTATTCCAACTCGTTGGTGCGCTCTTTTCGTAGCCCAGCGTGTTGCGAAAACCCCTGACTGTGGTGACAGGATGTTGCGTAGCTGGATCTGTTTGTTAACGATTTCGGCTCCAAGGCTCTTAGCGTAGTATGTGGTATCGCCGATGGGGTAGCCAGTTGTCAAGTCGGGGTTGTGAATGATAGCGAGGATCTCGTTCAGACTCCTGGTTGGGGCGGAAGTGGGCATGTTGAGTGACTATTTGCCTTTCGTGAAGGTCAGTGGCAGTGGGAGATATCTTCTGGGAATGACCAGATAGATTTTCTGATGATCGTTTTGTACATAATACCAGAACTGTTGAAGCGAGTAGATATACACATTGTGGGTAATAGTGAATTCGGCAGGCACCAAAGAGGTGGCGGCCTTGCATTGCGACAATAGCGCCGTCTGCCCCTCCTGAGGGCGACCCGCTGCTCGGAGGGGGTGGATAATTTAACTGATCTTGCACTAGTTCTACGGTTATTGGCGCTTGTGTATAGTCGAGAAGAACACACCAAAGAGAAGTGTTCAGTCATTGTTCCAGAGGTAGTAAACAAGGACGAAGGCAGATACCCTGGCAACAGCAATCGCAGTGCAAGCGCCGCTAGGCATGACTTGAACAGGTAGATTGTCTCTCCTAAGATGAAAGCAATCGCCGCAGATACCCAAGATAACGACCGAAAGAAACCCGTTGAAGCGAGACTGAAAGAAAAGGGCTTGCCAACTTTCCAAAATGGAGCAGCTGGGTCGAGCAATCGTATGCTCAAGCAGCAGCACACACCACGTTGACTCCATGACCTGCAACAGCATCGATGACACCCTCAGCATCCAAAGCTTCAAACAAGCCGACGAATGTAGCCGTCCACTCACGTCCTCCATCTCCGGCACCTCGATTGAAGACGAAGTCTTGGACTCCGCCGCCAGCACCACCAAGGTCTTGCTTTAGTCTCGCGCCATCGTCGTCTGCCCACCCTGCCCCCCATACAGTATACTCCCCACCACCGAACGACGGTTTGACGCTGCAGCCAGCCGATACGGACTCTGGCTCGGGAGCCGGAACAACTGGCGGGGTTGCAGGCATGTATTCAAGACAGTCACTGGATCCGGTACCATCATCCTCGCTACTGACCTCCGGGTAACAATCGAATCTGACGCGATGTGCGTCTTCGTCTGCTCCGTTCCAGATCATGCGAACCTCGGTCCCTGGTTTATGCACCCAGCTTGACTTGTCGGACTTGAGGTATTCACGAATCGCTTTGACTCGCTCAATTCCGGTTGAGTCACGGAACTCGGAAGGGATATCCTCCATTCCTAAGTATGTCGCAATAAGTCCTCCAACAGCAGGAGCAGCTATATGTATAGTTAGCGATCTTATCATGGGTACGGGCAAAGTAGCTTACCGACGGAGGTGCCCTGGAAGGTTTCACTTCTGCTGTCCCTCGAAAGAGAAAAGACCAGGTTGCCAGGCGCGTAAATAGATAGCTGAGGTCCCCCCTGCGAGTCTTCGACTCGATCTCCCGAGATTTTCGCGGCACCGACATTGATGATGGGCGTCATGTCCGGATGTTCCAAAACCTGCGGCAGCAAATCGATGTCCTCGCGTGTGCCCTCATCTGCATCACGCTCATTGCCAGCTGCAAGGACGACTGGTGTGCCAAGTGCAATGATGTCGTTGATTGCGTTCAAGAAATCCCTTCCTCTCTCGGTTTTCAAAGCCTGGTCGCGCGTAGTGGACCCAGGAACGGCTTGAGAAACCACGACAACACTCTTGAGAGCTCGACCTTTGTCGCGTATGTCGGCGAAAGCGATTTTCAACCCTAAGAGGAGATCATCGGCGGTATGGAGTATCTTGACAGGGACAATCTTGGCTTGCTTAGCTATGCCATATCGTTTCCCCGCAGCTTTACAAGCCATCATTGTACCGTGTGAGCCTTCCGCAGGAGTGCCTTCAGGTGGTGCGTCGTCATCTGTGCCTCTCGACTGCCCCTTCAACTTGGAGGCTTCGGTCTGTAGGATGTCCTCTACATCAACGACGAGTTCGTGTATATCCTTGAGGTTGCCCTGGCGCGTCTGAGTCAGCGTAGTCTAGAGGCACACAGTAGAGCCACGAACATTAGTTACGCCAACTGCCACACCCTGGTCAATGACGTATATCCAAGTGCCCTTTCCGGCGTTGGCATCGTAGATGAAGCTTTTCAGATTACCACCCAAGCCACTAGGAAGCTTAGTCAGATGTCGCAGTGATCTCAAGGTTTTACCACACTTACTCGTACCTGCTGTCCTCCATCAAATCCTTCGTGGCTCTTTGTTGTCTCTTCCAAGTGATCGATCTCTTCGCGATCATCTTTGCTGGGTCGTACAAGGATGATGATAACTCGTCGTTGCCAGTGAGAATGGAATAGTGCGATGTATCTCTAGAAACAGCTCGGCATTTGATGAGCGGCAGCGATACATGTAATTCTGGGAGGATGCCGGGATGCTGCGTCACTTCCAAAACGCCCTCTGGACTCAAATCCAGCGGGCCCCATCTCAGTCCTCCGTAACATGTGAGCTCATAGATATCCTCCCCAGGCTTGGTCTTGGTCTTGAGGTACGCGAAAATCTTTGCATTCTCCTCGGTGGCATCCGGATCCTTGGCTACTGCCCAATATGTTGGCGGTTTTGGAGGTACCTTCCTCTTCGTGAATCTCAGTTTCCGCTCCTCGTAGCTCACACCGGGGATATCGATGTCCCTCCAACCCCGGAGATCGTCAACCGTCTCGCCTTCGATCAGGGACAACTTCCAACACGGTTTTCCATTGGAATCTTGGGTTTTTACGACACGATCTCCGTAGAAAGCCTCTAAGTTACACTCCGTCTCTTCATCGTGGCGATCACGACTGAATTCATCTGTGGATGGATATACGAAGACAGTGGCTGTAATTGGTTCCACGTTCGAAGAGACGTCGACCTCCCTGTTGTTCCCGTCAGGAGACGGACTTGCAATGACCGCTGGTATCAACGCAAGGAACAAGAGACGAAAGCGCATGATGTGAGATTGACGGAACAAAGTTCTTGGGACAAAATGTATGGAGAAGTTTGGTAGTGAAAAGATCGTGGGATCTTTGAGATGTGAGATGGCTCAATGGTAGATAGCAACACTTCAATGCGTGCCCGCTGTTATAGACATATTGCGACGCTCGAGATTACGATCCTGCTATACTTGGAGTTTTACTTCGCCGTCTTGATGTCCAAAGAAAGACCATGTTCAAACGTAGAAGTCGGCGCCTAGGAGCTATGACAGCATACCTGTCTTGAGCACTATCCATGATGAGGTCGCTTTGGACCTGATTCGAATGAAGCACAATGAATCTGCGACCGGAATCGACGACAACCGATGCAAACTTGTGGCGGCGGCACCTACTGTCGACGAAGAAGTGGGGGGAAAGTGATGTGGTTCTGTGCCGTAATGTGAGCTCATTTTACCCGTGAGAGCGCTAGGCGATTATGTCAGACAGCAAGACCGACGTGATTGGCCCACTGTGGCCCCACTCTGACACGCCCCAAAATAGAGTAGGCTCACTCGTTTGCACTTGCATCTGAATCCTTCTCTCCGCCTTGCGTAGAGATATTTCAGGTGCATGGCACAGCAACCTCGCGTGCGTTGAACTCGATGGCAGTGTCAATATGAAACGGACTACTGCCGTCAGCAATGTGCCGCTGGCGCTGGCACTCATCAAGGTAGTACGAAGTCAATCCGATGGCAGTCACCATGAATGGTACTTCAGGTAAATCGAGATCACATTTCCGGGGCGTTTAGGGTAATCGCAATGCAGGTAGTCACCGAGAACTGGCCAAATAATGGAAAGAACGACATTGAGCTACTTACGTCCGATATCTCCACAGATGATTATATGCCTACGTAACTTCTTCTAGCATGATGTTTGACCTTGTACCCATTCAGCGCCGACCCATCGACCCATCGACCCGTCTATCATCTGTCTAGATCTTGAGTAAGAGTCTTAGACCCAGAGTCCCTGAACGCCGTAACCGTGAATGACACCCCAACACAAGTGCGACGAATAGGGTTTCCTCTACATCGTCCTCCAGAAGAGACATTCAAGCGAGCTGAAACATATCACCTCTCCAGCCGTACGTCCTCGCAAGACGCCGACCGAAGCGTCGAGCCCATGTGAAAGGCAGCTTGTGTGTCGGGTGAGGCTCATGGAACTGGATGGGCTGCTCTAAATCTAGGTCTCGCGGGGTGAACTGCCAGGCGGAGCCTTGCAGCTTCTGCGCGGCGAATCCAGTAGCTATCATGGCGTATAGGAAGTCATGCCAGGGAATATCACCAGGATGGTCGCGCGAAAGTGGTGAATGGAACAGGACCCTGAAGACTTTGTGTGCGCGCTTATCGAGATGGAAGGTCGGTTGCTCGTCCATGTTGGTAGGAGCAGCTGGCATGTCGGGGTTGTTCTCGTAACCATGTTCGGTGTTGAGGGCTGCCAGACCGTGTGACTTTGCTTTCTTGGTATTGCTCAGGTTGATCTTGTCAAATGCGCCGGTGATCTGCTTTGTAGGGTCGTGAAGGTCATTGGAGACTGGAACGTATATGTATTCAATTGCCGAAGAGGGGTCGGAAGCCTCCTCGGGCTCGATCCAAAGCGGCGTGCGCTGTAGAGTACGCTCCTTGATAAGACCGGAGACTATTTCGCGAGGCGTAGTACCGGTACATTCTCTGAATCGACCATCTGCAGCGTGCCAGAACGCGTCCAGGGCCGCCTCCGCACTCCTGAGATTTTCGACGTTCACCCTGCTTCGGCGCTTGTTGATTAGATAGCGGAATTTTGCGCCCGGCTTTCCGAGATCAGCGAGGTTGGTTCCCTCGAAGGTTGTATTCAACGTTGAGTGCCACCTAGCGAGGTTGATAGCATAGGCTGTTATGAGCTCCGTCTGTCGCTGTTTGGCTAAGTACTGAACTCGCTTTACCCATGGTAGGAAGAAACTGAGTTGACGAAGACATTCCGAGACTATGGACAGCTTGGAAAGGAGTGAGGCTGCGGACGGGGAGGTCAAGTTTCTCGCTCGCTCATTGTTTTGCAATAGATTGTCCAGTGTCTCCACCAGAGTGTGCACCTTTAACGACTGTCGGACAGGCGGCTCCCAAAGATACTTGAAAAGAGTGAAAACACGCTCCAGTTCTTTGTCTCGTTTGCGACTACCTTTGCCGGTGAATTTGATGCCCACCACCATATCTTCAACACTGTGATCGCATTCTTGGGAGAAATAAGCGCGAATTTCCAAAGAGGATGACCAGGCTACCCTCAGCTCTTGTATGATTTCCAATTGGAAGAATTCCAGAAAAGACCAAGCTTCAACAAGTGACTCTGAGAAGTCTTCTGGGAGCTCTTCATTGCTACCAAGATTCTCAAATCCAAGCTCGTGTTTGTATAGCAACCTGAAGCGGTTGAGCTCGGACATATGTTGTCGCAGTTCGTTCCACATGAACAGGTCAATGTAGCAGTCGGTGGCCACACCATGTAATACACGAGGCCAAAGAACTTCGTCGCGCGCACTCTTATGTGTTTGTTTGCAACGAATACCTGGCAGTAGCTCCGGCCGATGTTCTTTGTATTCAAGTGTAAACTCTCGAAAGTATCCCGGATCCTCTCGGAGCAGCCAAATGTGATCTTCAGCCGCGTTTTGGCATGCAGATACCAGTGCTTCAAGTCGGCCGAGATCCGCTAATGTAGGCACCCGATAACATGCTTCTCGTACGATGGCGTTGAGCGAGGTGAAGTCCTGATCGCTGCAAGTCAAAGCTGGAGGCTCGGACGGATTTGCAGCATCTTTGTACAGCCCATATAACTCTTCGCACGATCGCTTCATGATAGCTGATTGTACCATAGTGTTATCCGCCAAGATTTCGCCAACACACAGCAGAAGGAACTCAAGTATGGCCGTCTGCATCCACACAATGTGTGAGCCAGGTAGAGGATGTATGGTATCTCCTCTACCCATCGATTCAGCGGCCTCTGCTTCCGTATTCCACTCGTAGATCTGGCCGTATCCGAGGTTGTTGAGCCCCATAGTAAACTTTGTCTTCTCAAGAAGCGCTGGCCGTAGGTGTATCAGAGGGGCCAACTCGTAATCTAGAAAGGCAAATTTCCACATTGCATGTCGGCCACGTGCGTTGAGAAGGATGAGCAGTGGGTTCGGCTTGGTGAGGTCCTCGAGGTTGAGATAGGGGAAGGCGTACTGCGCCAGCCCATGCGAATGCCTCTGGTGCGGGCACGCATTGAGAACGGACCTGTCAATATCGGGGCGATGATTCTTTGGTAGCTGTGTTGGCCAAGCCTTCTCGAGGATCGCTTTCCGCTGCGCCTTAGACTTCTTGAGCCAACGCACACGAATCTCACCTTCGAATTTGATGATGATGGAACACAGAGTTGTCCAAATGATAAGGTTAACCACCACAGCATCGCACTCTGCATTGACGATGTGCTCCACCGGGGCCATAATAGCTTTCTCCCAGCATAACGGTTCCTTCTGTCTGTCGTTGTCGCATGGATCGTCTTCTGGGCAGCCGAAGAAATGGTGTACGTGGTCGAAGTAGTGGAAGATACCTGCTCTTGTGAATGTAAGACCGCCAGATCTTGTACCCTTGAGTAGCGCCTGGCGCAGTGTCTCCGAGGCTTCGGGTTCGGGCAAAGATTTGAGAGATTGCAGCCACTGTCGGTACTGATCGGCCGACTCCATGCTCGATGTGCGATGGTGCTGCAAGATTTAGAGCTTCCAAAAGAGAGGCGAGAAGATTAAAAGAGCTTGCATCGTTGTGCGCAGACATAGAAGAGAACGACTCTAGGCTGCAGCACCGCTTCTCACGTAAAGGCGCAAGTGAGAGGGTTTTTTTTCTCAACTCGCGACAGCAAACGGGCGCCAGGCGAGCGCTCTCATACCGCTACATCACTGCGCTCACCAACGCGACGACATGGTCTTGCATCAATGGCAAAGACCATGTTGCTGAGCTAACTGCGCAAAGCTACATGTCTCTACCTGCTATCGTCTACCGGAGCAAACATATCAGAATCGATCACTATTGACGTTTGGTGGTTGAAGTGAGTCCAGCGGGTAGGTCGGTTGTGGTCCCTCTAGGTGTCGCTTCCCTCGACTACCAGAACCCACCCAAGGAAGGTGTGCCTGTTGACGCGAAGCCTCATTCCCCTCTCTTCACACCCCGACTACGACCTATACCACTTTCTCTCACTTTTTTTCGTCGCGTCGTCGATCAAGTTGCGGTGAAAGCCCTTCAACAGTCGGTCAGATAACGCGCGGAATATCGTCGGGACGCTGCAGACGATCGGGAAACCACAGCGACATCTCCAAACTACCATCTCGCTAATGGCACAACCCGCTTTCGGATGCGACACGAATTTGCGTATGCGCGACGCGGCGCGGCATCGTACGACTTGCCCTCCGCGGTCCCGGTGAGCAACGTTGCGCAGTATGGCGGGGGGAAAATTTGTTCCGCCCAGGGCTAAGGCAAGGACGAGGATCAATTTCCCCAGATCAGGCTATACGCCAGTCCGGGGAAAGCGGGCGGCGAGGATAAGGCTTGGACGAAACATGTCGGATGTTGCCAAAGAGCAATGGCTACGTCGTATTACCAACGATGAAACGACGTTGAGGTCGCGTTAGCTCGCGTCTAACCCGCGGCTTCCATGGCTTCCTATTCGGCGTCTCGACAATATGATGCCATGACAGGCGAGCTTGGCTCGGGCTATTGCTAGACACGAAGAAGCAAGAAAGTTCGCGCCAGGAATAGTCGCCCGGTAATAATGTCGATATATTCAACAACAACATGGACTCATGGTTCGGATGATGCGGAGAGAAAACTGTTTGCAGAGAACGCGTCGCGCATTAAGATTAACCTCTTTCGCATCTCTTCTATATTTAATAGGTAGATTTAGTTATTATATATCTTATATATATTATAAAAGTTATAAGTAGCTTATTATTAATAAGTTATTATAGTACTATAAAATAAAATAGAATAAAACTAAAGTTTAAGATTTTTATATATATATAAGTTAAAGAAGAGTATAAAAGCTTTATCTTTATAACTCTACTTTCTTTCTTATATATAATATAGTACGCCTTACTTTTTAGTTTATTACTTTTTTTATTTAAAACCTAAATAACTTAACTATAGCTATAATTACTTTTACTATTTTCTTTAATATTATTACTACTACTTTTTTAGCTAAAAATACTACTTTTAAGTAATTAGCTATTTTATAAGTACTTTAGTATCTTCTCTACTAGAAAATATATATAAAGCTTTTATATTATAGTAGAGAGAATAGAAGTATCTCTATTAGAATAGGTACTTAATATAGTTAATTGTATTATATCTATATATGTAGTTATTACTCTTGTCTAAACACTATTTAGACCTAGCTTTCTTTAGTGCACTAACTCTTAAGCCTAATAGCTATTTAGCTTATTATTATATTACTAGTTTTACTACTATATCTCTTCTATACTTAAGAAGAAAGCCTTTTTTTCTTCTTAAGTATAAAAGAGAGAATAGCTCTTAGATATTCTCTTCTACCTATTATATTACTAAATTCTATCTACTTAATCTAAATATACTATACTCTAAACTCTTACCTAGAAATCTAAATACAAAATCTCTTTAGGCTATTTCTATCTTAGTATATCTTCTTCTAGTACTCTTCTTATTTTAATTTAATCTCTTCTACCTATCTACAGCCTCTTTCTTTATTTCTCTAGTATATTCTAAACCTTATCTTAATTACTTTTAATATTAGTAGCTAATAATCTCTTAGGCTTAAATTTATATCTTTCTTAGGTTTAACCTTTACTTTTCTATAGCGCCTACCTATCTAGCTCTTAACTCTCTATAATGTTAGCCTTTCTTCTAATAAATATTCTACTATCTTTATTATATTACTAGTACATCTATAGAAATATTCTAGAAGGTTTATACGTACTATACTAGCGTTAGAACCTATACACTAGTTACTCTACTTTTTTACCTAAAAGCTTTTTAGCGCTTAGTAACTAGGCTATTAAAATAATAATATTATAACTTTTCTTCTTGCGTATAGTAATTACTACTCTTAACTCTACTTTTACGCGCGTAGCCTTCTACTATTCTCTCTCTATTTCTTTCTCTTCTTCTACTCTACTCTACTTTAACCTTTTTTTTTTACTATAGCTTTATCTGCGCGCTCTAAAGGCAAGTTAGCTACTATAGATACTCTACTAGTTACTATATTTGCTTTCTATACTTACAAGCTTACTACTAAGCTAGCTATTATATCTAAAGCTAATAATAGCTCTACTACCTCTACTACTATACCTACCTTTAAGCTTACTATAGCTAAGTAAGCTGCTGCTATTACTATACACGCGCTTACGCTTTCTAAGCTAACTTCTACTAATAAGATAACTATTAAGCCTAAGACTATAGATAATTCTACTACTATTACTACTTAGCTTATAACTAAGAGTGCTAGTAATAATACTACGCTATTATTCTAACCTTTACGTGCGCCTAAATAGCTATTAGCTAAACCTACTCTACTTACTCTACCTAAGACTGCGCTCTTAATTAAAGCTAAGACTAGCGCTAGTTCTAGCTAAACTAATACTATTATAACTAACGTACCTAATACTGCTCTACTACTCTCCTCTATCTATAGCGTTAACTCTACTAGCTATTCTTAGCTTAAGTTAGCTCTTAAGTCTCTAATAAAAGCCTCTTAGACGCCTACGTCTTATCTTTCTAAAAAGTAGAAGAACTAGAGTAAGTCTCTACGTCTTTCTATTTTTACTCTAACTAAGGCTATTAAAGAGAGTAGGCGTAGTATATATATAGTAAAGTTATATAAGTATAAAACTTCTAACTCTAGTTATAACTAGTATATTATCTAGTATAAGTTTTTTCTCTTCTCTAGAGCCTTTTAACTAAATATTATTCTAATATCTTCTATCTTATTAGTAACTAACTAGAGAGCCTATATTATTACTTTTAGCTTTACTATAGATATATAGAATTACTTATATACCTTATAAAGCGTAGAACGTATACTTAGGTCTTCTCTATCTATTCTAGCTACTAATTAGAAAAGCTATTAGTCTAATATATAGGTTAACGCTTATAGCAACTTCTACTTAGCTAATCTAGAGATAACTATTAGTAAATTCTTTTAGTTAGATAACAAGTCTACGCGCTAGCTATTTAACTCTAACATAGAAGTGCTTATACTATCTTATTACTTTAGCGCTAAGTTAGTTAGTGTAATTAATCTTTTAGTTAAGAATTCTTCTATTAAGATTATTATCTATAGTTAGTGTGCGTTATTAAATTATAGAAAGATGTTTAGCTAGTATATCTAGGTTTATATTAATAGCTAGCTAATAAAGAGTAGAGTTTACACTAATTACTTAAAGTATAGTAATTATTAAGTCTACTCTTTTTATAGTAAGTTGCTAACTATTCTTTAGACACTTACTTTCTTATTTCTAGTATCTTTGCTAATATATTCTTCTAGAAACCTAAGTAGTAAGACGTAGCCTTAAGTCTACTATAGCTACTAAGTCTATAGTTACCTCTAATATAATTGCTAGTCTCTCTAAGAGCGTTCTTACTTATCTTAAGGCTAGTAAGAAGCTAACTACTATATCTAAAGAGAGTAATAAGGCCTTATTTGCCTAGGCTAGCGATAGTATAGCTACTTAGTACAAATACTATTTAAGTAATATTAACGCTAGTTATAACTTAGCTTTCTAACTAAGCCTAAAGAATCTTAGCTGTAATTTACCTAAGAAGGCTTCTAATACTAAAGCTACTTCTACTTCTACTAGTGCGCCTTATATTTAGTTATTATTACTACGCTTAAAGATTCTTAGTAAGAGTAATAATAAGTCTAAGTTAACTATTTCTAAGAGTTAGAGCTAACCTAAGAAGTCTAATCTATCTACTAGCTATACTACTCTAGACGCTACGCTTTTTGTTAGACCTAATAGTAGTTTAGCTACTAGTGTTCTTAAGCCTATTATGCTAACTAGAAAACCTTATTATTACGCTCTCTATACTACTTCTTCTTCTATCTAGATTCTAGGTAGAGGTTGTAGTTAACCTTGTAAGCAGCCTAAGCCTAAGAAGGCTATTACTAATAAGGCTAATACTATTAGTAATAATATTATTAAGTCTAAGGCTTCTGCTATTACTACTTCTATTACTACTTCTACTAGAACTACTAAGCCTATTTCTTCTTTAACTTCTACTAATTCTATAACTTCTAGCTCTGCTAGCTCTTCTATGCGCAAGTAGTTCTTTAGTTTCTTTTCTCTCTAATTAACTCTTAGGTCTATCTATTCTACTCTATAGTTATAGTAAATAAAATTATAATATACTTCTAAGTCTTCTCTTATTACTTTATATTCTTACGCCTATAATATTATAATAGCTAAACCTATATTACTTTTCTCTTACACTTAAAAGAAAAAAAGTCTTTTCTTCTTTAGCCTTAGGTTCTAAATATTATTTAGATATAATCTTTCTATTATAATATTCTTAGGTTTCTAGTAGCTATTATAATAATACTAGATTCTAAGCTATAATTAAGAAGTACTAATAGCAATTACCTTAGTAGCCTTTATAATTATGTAGAAGATCTTCTAATATCTTTCTAAATTAAAATAATTCTTCTATAAAGTTAAGATCT